AGGGTGCGCGGGGCACAGAGTGTGCGCGGGGCACAGAGTGTGCGCGCGGCACAGAGGGTGCGCGGGGCACAGAGGGTGCGCGGGGCACAGAGTGTGCGCGGGGCACAGAGTGTGCGCGGGGCACAGATGGTGCGCGGGGCACAGAGTGTGCGCGGGGCACAGAGTCACAGAGGGTGCGCGGGGCACAGAGTCACAGAGGGTGCGCGGGGCACAGAGTGTGCGCGGGGCACAGAGTGTGCGCGGGGCACAGAGGGTGCGCGGGGCACAGAGTGTGCGCGGGGCACAGAGGGTGTGCGGGGCACAGAGTGTGCGCGGGGCACAGAGTCACAGAGGGTGCGCGGGGCACAGAGGGTGCGCGGGGCACAGAGTGTGCGCGGGGCACAGAGTCACAGAGGGTGCGCGGGGCACAGAGTGTGCGCGGGGCACAGAGGGTGCACGGGGAACAGAGTGTGCGCGGGGCACAGAGTGTGCGCGGGGCACAGAGTGTGCGCGGGGCACAGAGGGTGCTCAGGGGAGTCTCCCACTGCAGCCAGCTGGCGGAGTTTTCTGTTGTTCCTACCGACGTTAACCCTGTCTGTACCAACTCTGGCGTCCGGTGATCTAAGCCTCTGCCTCCTGTAAGCTTCACAGGTCCGTCGGTTATGTCCTGCGCGGCTCGGCCAGCTCCAGTTCAGTCAGTCACAGGAAGTCCGAAGAGTTTTTGCAGGGAGCGAAACGGCAACGTAGCTGCTTAATGTCTTTGTTTTTTTTTACATGTCTCGTAGTTTACTCCATTGAGTGTTGACAAGAAACACGTGTAGACTAAATATGTGTTTTTGATGTTTAGAGGTACGCAAAGGCGCAATGGCGCGTAACAAGTGATGTTACGCAATTCAGATTTGTGCCGCGCATGCGTACCAGTATGTGCACCCCTATGGCGTTATATTTATGCCTCTATCCTGAGCACGCAATGAAACATGTTGAGCATAGAAAATGCTATTGAGCGCGCACTTGAACATTTTTGAGCACAGAGAAATATATTTTCTCTCATAAAACTCCTGCTCCGTGCGCAAGCAGACCGCTGCACGCGCTCTCTCTCCCCCGCTCGCTCGACCTCTCCAGCCTGTGCGCGCTCAGCTTTGCCTGTGCTCTCTCAAGTTGTCACAGCGTTACAAATGTGCCACAAAACCAACCAATCGGTGAACTCGAGAAGGTCAATTCTGATTGGCTGGTCCAGCGCCATGTAGAGAGAAGAGTTGCGACAGCGGAAGTCCAAAATGCTTGATCGTCACGTGGTTCAGAGAGACTCAGAAAGTTCCCGGAAGTTCGTGGCGGGCCATTTGAATCACGATTTGAATGCATTAATACCAGGATAGAAATGCAATTTTTGCTAATTAGTGGTCAATAAAGGTTTTGATTTGCAATATTTATACAACATATCGATATGTGTATGTAGTTACATCAATGTGTTTTGTTTTTTTTAAAGTAAAATGTGCTAATATTTGAGGATTAAGATAAAATAAGAAGTACTTTATTGATACCAATTGGGGAAATGTTTACGCTGCAGCAGCAAAAGACAAGGCATTGTACATTAGACAGTTAAAAGACTAGAATTAAACAATCGAAAATGTAAACATCTTAAATAGAAATAACATAGCATTACAAAAAGTAGAAAATATACATAGTGTGAACAGCTATCTTACCTGTTAACATACATGTTAGGCTAACGTTGCCTTTGTTACAGAGCCTGTTGCTGTTGTTTATTGCTTTGAATTCTTTAAAACAAATATTATCTTCTTAAACTTATATGGTAGTCAGGAGCATCACTTTCTAATGTTTATTGATATATTTAGAGGGAGGGAAGGAAGGTTTCAAAATTCAGATTAGAATAATTTCTACCATTTATTTAATTCATGGTGGTTTCAGTAATCCCCTGGTAATTGAGGACATAAGTAATCTAAATGAGTAATGTAATCTTTATGACTTTCAGAAAGGACAGGAGACCGGCAGGTGCCTATCAATGATTGTCAACTGACAGCACAATGAGTCAAAGGGCTAGCAGCAGCAGCAGCATGATGATGATGTTACATGTGTTGTTTTAGGAACATCCATTGTAAATAAATGGAATTCAATACACATTGAATAGCATATCATGCCGTTTGTCTGTGCCTTTTCCTCTGTTGTCCTGGCATATAGTCTCCCCCATGGTTTGCTGTGCTGCCTCGGGATGCTCCAAGCGCTCAGAGAAAGGAGTATGAATGTAAGGTTTCCCCACTGACAGAGAGGAGGAAAGAATGTCTGGCTCAAGTCAGCAGGAGCAATTTAACTATCACAAAAGACAACAACAGCAACAACATATGAGGTAATCATATTTTTCACTAAACAAAGACCACACCATTGGGAAGCTTAATGTCTGTTTAATCAAAAATAAGGAACAGGGAGAGGCTTGCAAAGCTCTGAGAGCTGAGACTCAGGGTCAGGGTGAGGGTCTCAGTGGGTATTCAGGCTCCATTGAATCCCCCTGGGGTTCTTGTGCTGAAAGAGGGAGACAAAGACAGGAGAAAGGGTTATATACATCTAGCATCCTATAGGATGGGAAATTGCTGACCTATTTTAAACTTACCTTGTGTTTTCACTCTCACTTAAGTCCCTCTCCCTTTGCCATCAATCCAAAATCAGCTGAGCTGCAACATAATACAGACAGGTAATAATCAACAGAATCACAAGGACAATATGGCTGTGATAAAAACACTCACCCATAAGTTACGTTGTTGTTTACTGTTTAGGAGTCTCAAATATCCACTCTAAATCCATATCAATCACACGCCCCAATGTTATATTTAACTAATATGTAACTCCCTCCACCCCGGATAAAAGCACGTTAAGAAGCACCTTTTCTCTAATTCCACAACGTTGGATTAATAGGCTGTTCATGGTTAACGTGTGTTGCTAACTTTTCCGGTATTCTAGCCTAATCTGTTTAGTTGTCCGGTTGAAAATTAACGCAAGCATATGCCCATTGTAGAACAGGAAACAGAAGTTGGTCCAGGTTCTGGTCAACCCAAAATTGTGATAGAGAGAAAAACATGTTTTGTCATTCTGCCACCTCTAATGCTTACAGCAAGTAATCAATACCTCAGAAGGGTTCATGTACATGTAGGCTACGGTTGGTTAGCTGTTTGTTTAAACTACCCCTATAGCTATGTTGCCGGCTAGCAAACTCAGGCATTGCAAACAATAACGTGATATCAGAAAACTAGAAATGTATAACTCACCTGACACTGTAGCGTACTATTCTCTTGATTCGAGTCTGTCATGTCCTGTAAATCTTCTTCTTATCGTGTCCACAAGGCAGTCAGTTACAGGGCTTGGTTAGATGTGGTTCAGCCACAGCTGATCTCCAGGCATGGTGTTTTCTCTTGGTGTTCTGTGGCTTACTTACAGCTTTCAGCGTAGCTTGTAGCGTAGCTTGTGCAGACTAGCTTGCGGCTAGCGTAGCTTGTGGCTTGTAGCGTAGCTTGTGGCTGTGTTGTAGCTTGTAACTGTTGCTTGTAGTGGTGATAGGATTAGCAGGATCTAGTTGATCTTGTCGATCTTATCGATCTCGTCAATACTCCTGTAAATGTCAACAATGGATGTGTAATAAGAACGTCAACAGCCTGATGGCAACCAAAAATCCCTCTCTCATCTCAGATAGAAGATATGATTGGAGACGACCAGCCAATCAGAATTGACCTTCTCGAGTTCTCCGATTGGTTGGTTTTGTGGCACATTTGTAACGCTGTGACAACTTGAGCGAGCGCAGGCAAAGCTGAGCGCGCACAGGCTGGAGAGGTCGAGCGAGCGGGGGAGAGAGAGCGCGTGCAGCGGTCTGCTTGCGCACGGAGCAGGAGTTTTATGAGAGAACATATATTTCTCTGTGCTCAAAAATGTTCAAGTGCGCGCTCAATAGCATTTTCTATGCTCAACATGTTTCATTGTGTGCTCAGGATAGAGGCACAAATATAACGCCATACACCCCTGGTTATAAAAGTCTTGCAAAACAAGTGTTTATTTTGCACATTGCAGGTTGTATAGCTTATTCCTCCAGCTCAGGGGTCTGCAACCTTTTCCACCAATTGTTTTTGTCTGGAGCCGCAAAACATTTGATAGCTTGATAGCTTATGAAGTTGTATATATTGTTACATCAGACAAAAAATACAGTTTGTTTGGATGTATTATTTATTACATTATAAAACTGTTAACCTCTAATAATAAACAAAGAACTCTTATAAGGAGAATTAAAGAAAAGACACAGGCCTACTTTACAATAAATCACAGCACTTGGGGAGTCCTCTGCACATTGGAAGAAAATGAATATAATTAAAATGGGCCCACTTTGAAATAAATACAACATATAGCTGCACCCTAAAAAGAGTTAACTGACTGGTCAGGTTATTCGCCTACGGCGCTGGCCGTAGCAGGATGTGACGCATATTTGAGTTGACCTAATTAAAACCGTTTTGTTTATTTATGTGTCACAGTATCACCTCAAAATACAAGATACGAAACATTTTTAACTGTGCAACAAAATATAAATAGTCCTACAAATACTTTTATTTGATTTCCTTCTAATTTTTGTCTAAGCTCAAGGGAGCCAGCGCAGAGGGCTGCAGACCCCTGCCCCAGCTGATAACCTGTACCTCATAGATTGACTATAAAGTGACGCTTTGTCAGAATCAGAATACCTGTTTTGGTCCCACTGAGGGGACATCTACATTTGTTACAGCAGAAAAGAGCCAGACAGCTTCATGTCACCTAAGAAGCATGCATAAGAGAATATTAGAGATAAGAGAATGAAAGAAAGGAACTAGTTAGTGTGCCTAACATCTGAACATAAGCTGGTTATGTCAGGCAGGGAAGCGAGAGCCAGGCTTTAGGCTCGACAAACCTCTCCCTCTGATCTGGGTTGAATAAACTATGAACCATGTCCTGAACGCCAGTGGGAGTTAATGCTGATATTTTCTGATATGAATCTGCAGGTGTCGGGAGACGACGACGCTAAATACACGGTGAAGGCAGTGAACAGTCTGGGGGAGGCGACATGTACCGCTGAGCTGCTGGTGGAGGTGATGGCTGGAGAGGAAGAGGAGGAGGAAGAGGAGGAAGAGGAATAGACTCCAACAGGAAGAGGTGCTGCTCCTCTTCAGCCTGTCAGACCTGAGCAGAAGAAACAAACCCACAAATAACAGATTCTGATTGGAGGAGCAGGAGTATCAACGCCGCAACAAATGCAAAATCAAATTGCCCCCTGCCAACAACAAAGATTTTCTTTATCAAACACAAAAAAATGTAACGTAATTTAATATTCTAAGCCCCGCCCACCTGACACCTGGACACATTGGATGCAGCCGGAAAGCTAACATCAGAACAATTACAACTGTAATGTTGAGAAAGTCATATTTCTAGCTAACGTCATCTATACTAATGTCAGCCCACAAGCTAATAAACCTTTGTTTGGATGACAATAGCTCACAAACATTAGTTAATGTGAAGAGAGTAAAGTTCAGAAATAAATAGCACAGCTGCCGGCTCGTTTTCAGTCTTATGTGTTAAGAGTATATTCATTGTTAGCGTTCTTGAGGATAGCCTTGGATAATAGGTTTATTATTTTACAAACAGGAAGCAGTCTAAGTAATAGTCTGGTAACACGTAGAGGTTAAGCTAACTTAACCACATAGGGTTTCTGGGTAATGAAGTCCTCCAAATGAAAACAGTGTTGTGTCATTTCCACTTTGAGCTGTTTAACATCCAAGTGCCTTAATTACAAAGTGCCTCTGTGAATATGGGCCTCAGGATGAGAACCAGCATGTGATGAAAAGTCATCCCCCTTAGCATGTGAGAAGAGTCGTATGTCTTCTCTTCTGTGTGAGCACTTTTCTTATCTTAGTATTTTTGACTTCGACAGCAGCTAACATCACCTCTGCCTTAAACCTAGGTCACCTTAGAGCAACTCCAGGACACTTTGAATCACCGTCCGGGTGATTTTAACAGTTTCTACCACGCATTTGTGACATCGAGGGACTGCATTACTATTTGGCTGCCTGAAAAACACATTGGTTAAACACGATGTCCTCAACTCCGAACATGTTGTATTCTGAACTTCACAAAGTCCACAATTAGTTTAGAAGCAGCAATAAAAACGCCTGGAGGAACATTTTTAAGAAGTGACCAAAATCAACTGTGCGGAGGAACCACATGTATTTCTACGGAGAAACGTCTTCTTACATTTTAAGTCTGTATTTTAAGCCCCTTGTACAGGGTGTGTGCAGGAATCCTGAAGTCACATGGAAGACCTTTTCAGACCCTTTCCACACGTTTTAAGACCTCATCTCCACTTTGAGTTCCAACCGGTTACCTTGGCGACACACTTTACCTCACATTCACTATATACAGTATTGATCGTCCTTCCTCCTTATCTTCCAACCATTTGGACGCAGACTTGCATTTCCCCATAACGATGCTGTTTAACAACCGGCGTAAACGGACCTTCCCGCGCTATCAAGCAGTGAGCGTGCGACGTCCTGTTCAGATGACGTCAAACCCAACGGGATGCCATCAATAAACTACAGAATCACACTACACTCCTACGCCGTGACTACATTCAGGCAGACTGTAGAATACAACCTCTTTGGACCATTTAGATACTTATTGAAAACAAGCTACAACATGTAACACCTTGGGAAATGCCTTTTAATACTTCTTAAGACCCCGCGGACCCCCTGTTTACAAATCCAATATATTATTATTATTAATTTGACTATTGCATCTTGGTATCTATTTCTTATTTTGTAGAAAGGAGATCCGTATGAAAAAAGATCCAAATTAAAGAATAAATGTGTCGACGTTATTCAAATAACTTCGATACAGATCTCTACAGAATTTCATGCAAATCATAAAAGGAATATTATATTTATTAAACGTTAAAGGATCTCTTGATTTACTTTCTCACCAAGAAAATACCTTATATTTATGAATCCGTACCTTATGGATATTCTCCTTTTGCAAATATGAGATCGTTTTCTTGTTATTACTTCTTTGCATCTCAAAAACATGAGATCTCCTGAGTTTGATATCTCACCTTGGACACTTCAGTGCAAATCAAAAAAACCTCTGCAAATGTTGAAAATCAGTTTCACTGTTCGTTAAGAGTCACAAGGTACACATACGTTATAATGTGTGAGATTCTTCTCGGTGATAGTTTCTGATTCGTCTCAAAGTGACAAACATCGCAGTTCCTTCAAGTGATGAATGTATGAGGTTAGAAGTGGTAGAAAACGGAGGTGATTAGAATCTGTGTCCGGAGTTCACACTCGTCCTGTTCCCGCTGATGTCGAAGTCGTACCTTTGATTATTTCTCGTTTGCCACATTCCAGCCGTTTGTTTGTAAAACATGTATTTAAAGGTTTCAGGGCTGACCCGCCAAAGAGAGTTCACAGGTGTGTGTTTGTGTGTGATCCATCTAACGTACCTGGGCCTGTTTGCTAGTTCTTTGTTTCTAGGAATGTTTTTATTTTTAGACTTATTTAATGCACAGATTCATAATTATATTATTATCGTTTGAGCATCCGTCTTCTTGCAGATCTTCTCGCAGCACTTCATTTGTCACCGTTTTTACAACTAAACCAAGCAGTGGACTCACTCCTAGACTGGTTTGTTTCTGTATTAGATGTATGTAGATTATACTTCTCTAATTGTTATAAATATATATCAGTTTGATGAACTGCAGATGACATGTATGAGAACACTACGACTGTAGTAACTCACAGAAATCTAATAAATCTATCACCAAACCAAAGTGCTGCTGTGGTGTGTTCATTACGAACCTGTGTGTGATGCTGAAGGGATCAAATCGATCTGAATCGTCTGTTGAGTTTTAAACGTGTTAATGTTGCTGCAGGATCAAAACAAACTTCCTTTACGGGTTACTAAAGTATATTGTATCCTATAATCACCTCAAACCAAACCACGAGGGTGTGTTTGTGTTCAAATAAGCATACGATGTAGTTATGGCTGGTATGTATAACGAGTTGTAGTTCCATAATGAGGTAGTAACATCCATCATTTAAAACAACAATTTATTTTTTAATATTACGGAGCTGTGAGATCCCGTTATATCGTGGCTCAAATTACTTTGATTTCTGGTCCCACATTCATCCGGTTAGAATATCCTTTATTGACAGAATGGTGCCATGCATACCGAGCTGATCTGAGACACATCATATAAACAGCAGACAACGAAAGACCTTTCATGTGTTATAAATGAGGTATAGATGTCCTTATTTCAAGGTGTTGGAGGTCTAAGTGCCGTTTTGCTTCTCTTGTGTTGGTTTGGCAATTATCCTTCTTGTGTCTTGATGATCAATATATTTACAGCTTGGGCCGTTCAGAATATGTGCCGCACTAACACTCACTAGAGCACCTAAAGTGGATTATTCTGCCCCATGAACCCAAGCTGACAATTTCCTTCAGTGTGTTTTGATAAAAAGTATTTTAAAAAGGACTAAATAAATAGCGCCAAAGGACAGCTTTGACGTTATTTTTTTACAGATTCACTCTTTAACCCTGAGCCCTCCTCAAATTTCCAACCTTTCGCCACCTTCGTAGCAAAAATGTACACGCCTCAAAAAACTGCTATTAAATCATTCATCGATTTTTTTTTTCATGAATCACTGAAACAACTTCTAACGTACTCAGAACTACCAAACATTCAATCATTGTCAGAATGTTAACCCTTTAAATGCCCGTTTAATTATTTGAATTATTTAATTCCTCTCAAAAACCACATTTGTTGATCTCACTGCCATTGCAGTATAAAACCATGCATTTTGTAATGTCAGCATTTCATTTAGAAGAAAAGTAGTGATATTTGATATTTCTACTCTATTCCACCAGATTACACAATTTTCCCACTGCAGGCCGATGCATGACATTCTTACATTTTTGCCAGTTATATGATGGAGTGTGACTACCAGGGGGCCCGAGAGTGGTGTGTGTAAACAATAATGATGCAATCAAATACATGTTGTTGCTAATCTTTGACATATCCAAGACTCTAATAACCACCAAAGTTCCATCCGCCTACTAATTATTATATTGGGAAAACATTTTTTTTGTTTTTTTTAAGAGAAATGAAACGGGCATTTAAAGGGTTAAAATCCTAAAAATTATTGAATGTTTGGTAGTTTTGAGCACGTTAGAAGTTGTTTAAGTGATTCATGAAACAAAAAGTAGAAAGAAAATTGATGTATGATTTAATAGCAGTTGTTTGGGGCGTGTACATTTTTGCCACGAAGGTGTCGTAGGCCACCAGGGTGGGTGGAGGGGGACCGGAGGAGGGACACAAAACTAGGGCCAACAGGATAGGTAGAGGGGGTCTGGAGGACGGCTTGGGCTGACAGCCCAGGGGCAAGGCAGAGCTTGAAAAGGGGGTTATGGAGGGGCGAAGGCAGTGGCAGGAAGAGTCAGGGGGTCGAGGGCGAAGACTGCGGCTCTCAGGGGGCCGGGCTCGAGGGCGAAGACCGCGGCTCTCAGGGGGCCGGGCTCGAGGGCGAAGACCACGGCTCTCAGGAGGCCGGGCAGAACCCGGTGTCGGCCGGACAGGAACCGGCGCTGGTGGGACAGGCCTCGGCAGGATCCCCCACGGAAGAGGACCAGGAGTTGGCAGGACCCCCGCCAGGAGGTCAGTCGGCGGGACCCCCAACGGGACAGGACACAGGATTGGCAGGACCCCCGGCAGGAGAGCAGTCGGCGGAACCTCCAACAGGACAGGACACAGGGTTGACAGGACCCCCTGCAGAAGCGCAGTCGGCGGGACCCCCAACGGAACAGTACACAGGGTTGGCAGGACCCCCGGCAGGAGGGCAGTCGGCGGGACCCCCAACGGGACAGGATACAGGATTGGCAGGACCCCCGGCAGGAGCGCAGTCGGCGGGACCTCCAACGGGACAGGACATAGGGTTGGCAGTCGGCGGGACCTCCAACGGGACAGGACATGGGGTTGGCAGGACCCCCGGCAGAAGAGCAGTCTGCGGGACCTCCAACGGGACAAGGCATGGAGTTGGCAGGACCCCCGGCAGAAGAGCAGTCTGCGGGACCTCCAACGGCACAGGACATGGGGTTGGCAGGACCCCCGGCAGAAGAGTAGTCTGCGGGACCTCCAACGGCACAGGACATGGGGTTGGCAGGACCCCCGGCAGGAGAGTAGTCGGCGGGACCTCCAACGGGACAGTACATGGATTGGCAGGACCCCCGGCAGAAGAGTAGTCTGCGGGACCTCCAACGGCACAGGACATGGGGTTGGCAGGACCCCCGGCAGGAGAGTAGTCGGCGGGGCCTCCAACGGGACAGTACTTGGAGTTGGCAGGACCCCCAGCGGAACCTCCAACGGACCAGGACATTGGGTCGGGACTTGAGACGGGACTCGAGAGGAGACTCGAGAGGGGAACCAAGGGGGAACTCGAGAGGAGACTCGAGAGGGGAACTAGAGAGGGGAACTAGAGAGGGGACTCCAGGAGGAACTAGAGAGGGGACTAGAGGAGGAACTAGAGAGGGGACTCCAGAGGGGACTAGAGGAGGGAACTCGAGAGGGGACTAGAGGAGGAACTAGAGGAGGGACTAAAGGAGGGAACTCCAGAGGGGACTCCAGAGGGGACTAGAGGAGGGACTAGAGGAGGAACTAGACAAGGGACCCGAGAGGGGACTGGAGAGGGGACTCCAGAGGGGACTAGAGAAGGGACTCGAGAGGGGACTGTGGCAGCTGGGGCTGGGACAATGGCTGCTCGGGCCAGAACTGGAGCTGAAACCATGGCTGCTGGGGACTGTACTAGGTCTGGAACCATGGCCGGAAATATGGCTGTATGATCCAGTTCTGAAGCCGGAAACATGGCTGTATGGGCCGGCTCTGGAGCCGGAATTGAAGCCAGAATCATGGCTGTAAGGTCCGGTTCTGAAGCCGGAAACATGGCAGTAAGGTCTGGTTATGAAGCCGGAAACATGGCTGTACGGTCCGGTTCTGAAGCCGGAAACATGGCTGTAAGGTCCGGTACTGAAGCCGGAAACATGGCTGTAAGGTCCGGTTCTGGAGCCGGAAACATGGCTGTAAGGTCCGGAGCGGAAGCCTGGACCCTGGCTGTGTAAGCCAGGTAATCCAGTATGGACGCAAAGCTGCGTGGGCCGGTACTGGAGCATGGAGGCATGGCTGCTAGCTTGGCTTTGCGCCTCCTTCTCTTAGCAGCCGCCTGTAGCATCAACAAAAAAGCTGAATCCGCTGGGTCCATTCTTGGTCGGTTCGTAATGTTACGGTGTGTGTAGGAAGCAGGACTCAAAATGCAGACTTAAGTGACAAAATAATTCCTTTATTTCAAGGCTACAAATATCTAGACACAGAACAGAACACTCACCGCAGAATTACTCAAAACACAAGACGAACCGACACTGAACACAGGAAGAGACAAGACTAAATACAGGAAGGGGTAATCACAAGACGAGACACAGCCGGGCAGGGGAGGAGAAACACAAGGGCCACAGGTGAAAACAATCAGACAACTAGACACACCAGGGAATCTAACGACGGGAGGAAAAACACAGGAAGAAGGACCAGACAATATACAAGGATGAAAATACCCATAACCAGACATACAAAACTACAACACAGACAGATCCTAACACAGTGTCACAGACTGGATGCAGAAGCATTATTTTAAGCAACACATTAAGTTGAGGAAACACTGGAGTCAAATGTAATGAAAGTCAGATGGTGTCTTAGACGGGCAGTGATATCATAAACCTGTTCATGTACGCATTCAAACACTTGTTCTGTTCCCAGCTGTGTTCACCTTGCAGGTGCAGCTCTGTGGCTTTGATCCTGGATCAAGTGTTTAAGTCATGGATGTTTAAAGTTTAACTTCTTCATATGTCTAATATTAAAGTTCACTTTTCATTCAGGAAGTATGACGCTGCGCTGTCAGTGCGCTTCTCCATGTCTGTGATTGGTCGAATGCTCCAGATACCACCCCTTTCATGTGAACGCGCACCTAACTAGATAGGACACGGCTGGCTTGAGCGATCCACTTGATAACCCGCGTCGTAGGACCGCTTAGCGAGAGCGCGTATGTTTTGGATTAGGCCAACCGGCTAACTCAAACATATCCAGGCTAGGTTGAACCGGCTTCGTCGCAGGCCTCTGAGGGTGCAAAATGCATCACGAAAGTATACAAAACATGTAAGAGTAAACGACATTGGATTTCAAAAATTTGACTCAAAAGAAGACTTCTTGCTGAAATGATCACCAAATAAAAAAAATCAGAAAACATTTACAAAAATACCAGAGGAGGGCACAAGGGTTAATTTGCTTTGATTATTGTTTTGTCTTGTTTGCAGGTTTAGCCTCTGGGTGTTTACAGCAGCACAATGTAAAGAAGCAAACAGGTCAGTGTGTTAATGAGGTCACCTGAGAGCAGCTCGTTAACAGCTCTCATTAAGGACGGAGCTCGTTAGTTCACAGAGTCCAAGCTGCAGCTCATTAACCACAAACATAATTTCATCATCTGCAGGATGTTTTTACCGCCCTGACCTCTGCCCTGCAGGCTTCTCACTTTATGTGAGTGACATCTCAGTACTTTTGTATGTACGTGTACTGTCTGAGAGCATGAGGGCCAATATGTAGTATGTTAAAATGCACTCTACTGGATGGTGCATCATACCGGTCATACTTAAGGCGAGACACCCCAGGTGAATAGGGTAATTTTTTTAACTTAAAGGGATAGTGGAAATGGAACCTCAAATAGTTTCGTTTTA